AGAGTACGTCACCGGAATGTATCTGGTGAGCTCTGGCGCTTTGTGCGTATTTTGTCGATTAAGTATTTCGCGAGAATATCACATTCAGGCAACAAAAATTATGTATGTGGGAAATATTCTCACTAATCTCGTGTTGGTGAACAAATTTCTTGAGACGGACGACTATTCCATATATGGCCTCGGCGTTGTTGAGGGATCTGCTGTTCGGAAGAACGTGGATGGAAAGCGGCAATTTTCCACGAGTCACGCTGGTAAGTTCGTAATAGTTTCACTTCGTTAAAGGAATCTTGCGCGGAAAAATCATGATTCTATTTCAGCCATAAATCACTGGCTTGAGACTCATTATCCACGATAATAGTGAAAAGAACTGAAGTATTGCTTTCGTTTTGATTAGAAATTCGAAAACTCGAAAAGGCTGCTACGCGTTCGAATTGCCCACGGACGTCTTTCACGAATGCTGGCGACGGGGATGCTCAAACTTGGTTCTTGGAGTGCATTCACTAGAAGCTCTTTCTGGCCTTCTGCTTCGTTGCATTCACATCTTACACTTCTACTCCATCCTATTCCATCGATCGATTTGTCTCCACTCTCCGAAATCGCGCGCTTTAACCCGATTCTCTCATTGCGTCGCCTGGTACGTAGCCGGCCAAACGCCGTCTTCTTTCCATGCCTCGCCTGGCTCTGCCTCCTGGTCCTTCGATGGTCCATAACGTGTAGTTTTTGTACGTTTGTTTCTCTTCAGAAACCGAATTCATGCGTGAAACTTTGTGTGCTGTTTCCAGTGATCACAACTGACATATTCGATGTTAGGAAAGAGTGCAAGAATTTTCCGCGCAAGATTCCTTTAACTTATATAGGTTGTCCTGAAAGTCTTTGCCCATTTCCATGTGTATGTTGTGAAATCTCCAGGGATAATTTTTGAACATCCATTGTAAAACGTATGTGAACCCCAGTCAATGATCTCACCAGAGCGTCTCTGCCGTGGTATTTCGCAGCGATTATGGCTGAGAAAATCGACTTTGACAGAAGAAACATATTTGGCTACTCCTGATTTTGAAACCCAGAAAACGCGTCAATGGAAGCGATGCGGCAAGAGTCGTACGTCTTGCAATGGGGCTTCAGAGTGTCTTTCACGACATGGCAAACATTTGGTTGCCGATGTCCAGAAACTCAAGAAAAAAGCCCAAAGTCGGTTGGCTTGTTACCCTGAGTGACGAGTGTCTTCTGGAGTTGTCTGGAAACAGTCTCTGGTGCAATGCACACTAACTGACACAGCTTTACTGCAGTCATCATAACACAATAGCCATTCCTCAATAGCTTTCAAAAAGAAGAGAAATTATGGAAAAAGGGGATTTCGTGATCTGGGTGACAACCGCCATCAGAAGCCTTCAGATTTTGAATGAACATTTTGATTTACCGGCTGTATCTTGTTTGACCCGACTACTTTGTTAGTGGTAGCAAGGAGTGGGTTCCTCAAGTAAACCACACCCGCGAGCGCCACTGGCTCAGACGCGTAGAACCAGAGATTCCGACGTCCACTCCAGCACTGCAACTTGAGAGGCAACTTTCAGACTTGGTAAAGCTGCAAGCGATCCGTTTGCCGACAGCTCCTACCAACGAACTTCACTGCTGTTGTAGTTCGAATAATGTGGGCAAGCGGATGGGATCTCATGCACTATGCGTAGAAAACATTACAAAGATCACTCCAAGCAACGCTCATCAAGTGGTTTTGAAAAAGGGCCAGCAAAAAGTCTCCAAGCTCCTTATGGGATGTCCTGTCTCACCAGTTGTGTTCAGCAGATCCGGCCCCAACAGAATACCGTTTGCTTCTGTTGCTGTTGATTCAACTAAAAGAGGGAGAGCTTTATGTTCCGGACTACTCGAAAACGGACTCCCTCCAGTTTTTTGCCTTGAAAGCTCAGGACTTCTAGGCAAACGGCATCCACAAGTCACCTGCTGAAAGGCAATAATGTTCACTCGTATAACTTCGTATAATGTTATTTGGACCATGTCTTGGTGCATTGCTGACTGGCCTAAAGAAGAAAGTGGATTTGAAAAACAAAATCGACAAATGGCCAAAGACTTTCAGGATAACCTAATATATTAAAGGCAGTTAACACGATGACTGGAGACGGTGCGGTTTTGATGACGTCACTAAACGAAACTGGCGGAAAGACGGTCCCAGTAACAAGTTCCCTAAGCGCACCAATTGGTTAGGCTGGCGCTCACGACGTATCACCAGACCCAGAGACTAGCCACGCAATAGTCGACTCCTCAGTCTCTAACCGCAAGTGAATATGGCTACTTGTTCGTTAGCAAAGTTCAGCTGCTGAAGCTTTTATGTGGCTCTGCCTTCTATCAGCGCACCCACAGGGACGTTGCCACGCAGTGCGGGTCAGAAGCAGGGTGAAAATCGTGTCGAGTACGTGGTCGCAGAGGTACGACCCCCCCCCCGAAATCGAGATCCTGGCACGACCCCCTCTAACAGAGCAAATTAATTCAATTAAAATAAATCCTGCAAAACAAATCAAAAAAAATCCTGCAAAATAATGTTATGGACGCCTCATCTTGTCATCTATGCACTGTCTTTCATCGCTGCACACTTTTGTGTATTTACTGAAATATCGACTCGAGGAAAGAGGCATTAACTTTGTGTGACCTCAAGGCGAGGTTCGTTCAGAAACGCACAGAAATCCTGAAGACACGGGGTTGCGATTCAATCTTGATTCTTGCTTGAGTATATCAAAACAGCCGAGTGTATCAAAGGCCGATTCAACGGCAGCTGCGGCGCGATTGTCACTGGGTCAGATTTGCCGAAATTTCAAAAAAAAACGTCCGAATCTACACCCTCGATGAAAAGGTTGCATTCCTCCATTTCACAACCTTTGAAGCAGCTTGAGGTAGTTAGATAGAGCTGGATTTCGCGTTTCCAAGAAGTATTGAAATTGCTCTGAAAGCCTTCCATGCAGAAAGATAGGGTCTCTCAAATTTCGTCGAGTAAACGTCGAGGACGCTGAAATTTTCACGCGAGTTTTTGCCACTTCAAGAGCAATATCTCTCTTAAAACGTGAGATCCTGAAAAAGTGAAGATAGTTTTGGAAAGCGGAAGGTTTGCGCTTTCTGATGGTCTTCTTAGCTTTCTTCTACATTTCCTAGTTGAGAAGATATCTGCGTCGAGTATGTATCGAGGACGGATCCGGCCACCTGAAAATCCGCTCCCTTCTTCACCATTGCAAGTGTAATTGTTGGCAACGCTTGAAATGGGTCTAGAAAACATCCTCCCAACATAAGCAATAGGAAAAGGAATTTTGTCTGAGTATAGGCCATGCATCCGACCTCACTCGAAGTTGCAGAATCGATTCGAAGGTGTCATATGATCATGACCAGTTGACAGAAGCTGCATTGTAGTAAACGCATTTCGTAACTCTACAACCTGAAGAACAACTTCATTTGCCCAGGGCTTTTCCTTCACGGTTGTCGTTTTTGCGACAGGGTCCCTAACAACAGTGTCATTCTCAGCGAGGTATTAAGGGAGAAGGAGCGAGCGATAGGCAGAGGAGGTGCCTTTGCAGCGCGTGCGCACATGTGGCAGTCTTCTTTGCGGGGATGCACTTTCATTCTTTGTACTGCCTTCAAATACGCCCTTCTCATGAAGGTGGAGGAATGGAGCGACTGAACCTGCAAAGAAAATTTAATATCATGTTTTTTTTCAGATATTTTCATTTTCTGCTGCGCTATACCCTCTTACCTATCTGCACCACGATACCACTGCTGTTACTGACCCCAAGACGACCCCCCATGACCCAGCCCGACAGGTACGACCCCCCTGTCGAGGATTTCCTCGACCGATATTCACACCTGGTCATGAAGTATAGTGGAAACTCCTAACCGTGATTTTTTCTTCAGCGTTCGCTCCTTCGCGAATCAGAAATATCCAGTAGTGCAGTATCTGTCACTACTTGAAGATATGTTCCGTTCAATGGTTCTCTAAAACTAAACTTGCCTTGCATAGCTATAGTGTTTTTCACCGTCGCTCTCCATAGTGTTCAATGTATTCGCCGCAAAAGAGCCTACAGTCCATTATTGTACTGCTCAGCAAACTTTTTCACGAAACCCTCCTCTTGAATGGCATATTGACATTTGCCTTTTGCGGATTCCTCTTTTCTTACCTATCACCAAGCACCCTTGACGAGGAGTTGGGGGGGGGGTTACCATCACGCTACAGCCTGAGAGGAGTTGGGGTGGGGCAATATGCATAAAACTGCCTCGACGCTTGCGGGCACGATTTCACATCATTCACGTTTTCCCAAAACATTTCCCAAAAATATCCCGAACCCGTTAAAACGCCCCCATGTTCCACTGTTTAACCGACTCTCCCAACTCAACCATCCAAGACCTCTCTGATACCCTCATATTCGACGCATCTCCTCTTGTCACCGGATCACCAGCGCATAAGAAGTACAAAATATGCACCCTCTCCGTTGAAGTTGGGGAAACGGAGTTGAACATTGCTACATAGATGGAGGCACGTCCACAAAACTTCACACTGCTTAGTGGCTATACATAAAGGAGTTCTTTGTATGGTTGCACTTCGCTGCGAACTTCTGCGTAAGAAAATACAAATTCTGTTTTCAAATCCCATGAAATGTCACACTTCTAGACATTTCTGGAGAATAAGGCCGCAGAAACTGCAGGAATAGGTCCGCTGAGGCAGAGCATTCAATAGCAAATGAACTGCATTTGAAATCTGTGGAGAACGTGAACAGGACCATGACGTTATTTGACGTTCTCACGAAGTGAGAACTTATGTACTTATTTCACTCACAACTCAACGCATTATTTTCAAATCGCCCTTCCCCGTGTTCATGAAAGATACCATATTGAACCTTACATTCCCCAAAGGGTGGATACACGATGAGGTCGAGGCCGTGCAGAGGAAAATATAAACCTGTGGTCTATACCACCAATGCTCGTTCCCGCTCCACAGGAAAGAGTAAGTCTCCGTGACCTAGCAGGGCCATAACCCCTCGCCGCTCGCGCGATAGGTCCGACCTTCCAGTCATTAGGTCATAGAGAACGTTTAGGCGTTGAAAATCCAACGTTGGTGAGAGTCGTACCGATGGCTAAAAAATCTCCGGTAGGGAAGCCAAATTTTTGGGTTGGCGTGGCCGTTTCGCTTGGTTTTTTATCCTGCACCACTGACTTCATTTCCAATAAGCTGCCTTTTCATTGTAAACACTGCCTTTGACTTTTGAGGAAATCCTTCTCTTTTCACTTTTCCTGTCGTTTGAAGGCGTGTGTCGTGATAAATAGCAATCAAACCACAACTTATTTGTGTATCATTTATGCCTAACCTTTCGTTCAATATGGTGAGTAGCGAGCGACAAACGGTGATGCCTTTTTTTGGCTCACCTCCAGAAAGTGATAGCAAAGTTATAGTAATAGCGAGAATCAACAAGGTAGTTCTAATCTATGTTGGTCAATGCTGTGACTGGCTGTGCTGTAATCGAAAGGCACGTCCGTCGTGCACGTTGAAATAATAATTGAAAAAGCGGCTGTTGCTTGCGCTCAACCTCGGAATTTCATACAGTACAGTAAGCGATTTCAGTGTGACTTCGAGGTTCGCGTGCTTGGCAACAATCAACGGCATTCGGTACAATGTGTGTTGGTGATCAACATCTTCAACGAGAAGATCTTCATCCTCATATGGTTGTGGTTCACGCTGCTTTTCGTCGCCTCCACCTTGGACATGCTCTACTGGTTCAGCATCTCCATGTTCCACAGGTATTTTTTAATCCATTATTTTGAGGTTGAATAAAACCCTATTTTTTATCTTTCCGATTTTCTTAAAGGAATCTTCCGCGGAAAAAGCTCCGCCTCCATTACCACAGAAAAACGATACCTTAGGCCCCTAGCCTCATGAGCATAGCAAAAAGAACGGAACATAAGCGTTAGTTTCGATAATACTAATCCTACACACAAGACAAAATGATCACTCTTTCCGTGGAAGATTCCTTTAAGGTATCGTTTTCTGTGGTAATGAGGGCGGAGCTTTTTCCGTGGAAGATTCCTTTAACCTTCCTATCTTTTATCTTTCCTATTTTCTTGAGTTTGATTCGCGCTTTAGTGCGGGTTACCTTTCTTTTCTACTTTTGAGGTGGCTTTCTTTTTGTTAGAGCTATCCTTTATCGACCCGCTGTGGGGCATAGCCTGCCAGTGATTGAGACTAAGTAAGCTAAGGCCAAAGGTGTCAAATGCCCTTTCTTCTCCCTTTGAAAATGCAATGTGAGATTATGAAATCAATTGATTTTAGTAACTAGATTTCATTAGAAGAACCTTACAGTTACGTAGAACACGTTTCTGGGCTTGTAGAGCTCCTTTTGTGCCAAACTGAGTTCATTTGCTTTTTATGGGTTCAGATATGTTCAAAGGTATGCCAAGCAAAACCCTAGATGAGGCATTCTCTAGCAAGTGCTTCTGCGGAATACCCCTAAGCTATCTACCACTTGGGACCCCCTTTTTTCTAAAAATAATACTCATTGGTCCCCATGTTGTATAGAAGTAATAACTAAAAATGAGTTTAAAATATCCAAAAAATATATAAGTCAAACGTGTCAAATGCCCTTTCTTCGCCTTTTGAGAATGCGCTGCCAGTCCGTTCTTGCGGTGGTGGACTGGATAGTTCAGTAGGGCATCCGATCTGAACCTTGGGCGATTGAGTTTTCTCACCCAAACACCTTGCTAGCGTAAAAA